AAAGGTCATATGTAAGTTGCCCAAATAGTCTTAAACTCAAAGATGATACTTAGCTCCATGAGGGACTGAGCCCTGCTTGTGAAAAATCTGGGGAACTATGCTTCCTCGTAGGGCCTTTCCACTTCTTCCCTGCGTGCTTGCCCTCCCCTTCTCCACTCTACAGACTCTCATGCCTCCCCAGTAGGCAGGCAGGCTAGTTTAAAGAGGCAGGGAGAGGCTCTGGGATAAGTTTAGGAGGGGATGCCAAAGTACTTGCCACACAGCCACTTCATCTGTGCCAAGATTCTGAGGATGGGGTACGGAGAGTGCAAGAGACAGGGGGCTCCACAGGGAGGGATGTTCTGTATGCAGCAGACCCTCCCTAGTTCGTGCAGTAGTGCTAGGGCAGGCTCAGTAAAGATGAGGAGAGAGCACTCTGTGATGGGCCTTCTGGATCATTGATGAGTGTTCCACTTCATGCACCAAGAGCTGGTCTCATGCAGCTTGGGCATGTGGCGGGGCTACCAACCTCCATGTCACCAAAGGACAAGGTCAGAAGTAGTGTCCTGGGGTCAGCTCCCCAAAGAGGCTTTTCAGTAATAAAAAGCCTTGAATCTCAAGAGTCTCCTAGTTCTACCTCCTCATATGTAGGAGGCTTCAGCCTGGAGTTCCCTTTGCCCAGATCACTCACTAGATATCTCAGGCCAAGAACTAAGTATTTTTAGATCTTTTTTTTTGTGGCAAAAGCCTCCTCTTATTCATAAACATCAAAATGTATTATTATTATTAATGCTTATTTTATGCTGAATGTTTTTGAGATTTTCCTTCTAAATAGTTGAGAACTGGTTTCAGTTCAATTTTTCCCCTTTAACATGTAATTTTAGACCCTGGGGAAGGCAGTATCCTAGCAATTTATAACAATTAGACTAAGCCTTTTTTAAAGATTGATATAGTACCTAAAAGAGAAGGACATAAAAATGGAGAGAATCAAGAAATCCCTTCAGACTTGGGGCTGGTACACTAAAGCAGAGAGCAGGAAGGAAGAGCCAGAAGAGGATGATATGGATGGAGCAGCAGACTTGGTCCAGGTATGGGGCATTGCTGCACCTGGCCTAGCCCCCTTCAACTTGGGACTTGTTTATGCCATAGTCCATAGGATTTCTAGAAACTTTTTTTCCTGAGTCTTGGCCATCCGTCCTAGAATCTGTAGTGTGACCCTGAATCAGCAAACAATGTGGGGCAAAGATATGCACAAGGTCTTCCTGAAGAACTGGCACCTGTGATCTCTGCTTAGCCCAGAGAGCCTGGCTTGAATGCTCTCTGTAGTTTGAGAAGTGATGTAGAGCTAGGCAGCTGGTCTCCACTTGGCTGGTTTCATCTGCTCTTTTCTGAGTGGGCTTGAGCCACTTATTACAACTCATTTAAAGTTCAGAGATCCTGTCAACTATGGAAACTCCTTTTCCTACCAAACTTTGGCAATCAAGTTTCTGGTTACTACCCTCTTTTATCACTGTCATAGCAAGAGCAAGCTGGGCAAAGCAGCAGCAATTTGGGCTACTCTATTTCCCACTTCCAAAGTTTGTGGCCTTTAGTCTGTTGTGACAGCACTGAACAGAGTTCTCTGTTTTCATGCTGGGATCATGGCTAGTTTGGCACTGATGGACTAGGGGAGGTGCTATTTGTAGATCTCCCCTGTGCCTTTTGATATGGGAATGCATAACCAGCAGAAGAGAGCTGTGTAAGAGCCTGGCTATGACCACGAGTTCTCAACTCACCGCATTGTCAAGGACAGCAGTTCCACTGGTTAAGACAGAACCCAAGAATGGACAGGACTGGGCCAGGATGAACATAGTTGGAGGATATACAGTAATCTATCTGGGAGAGGTAGTAACTAGTAACTAGAACAGGGCAGGGAAGACTGGATAATGTGACCTTAATGACCTAGCTGTTGGTCAGTTCCTGTATTCTTCACATATTCAATGAAAGATGCTACCCAATCTTTACAATGTTCAAATACAACAAAATCAAGGTCACATTCCAGGTCTGAGCCAGACACAGCTGGTGAGAATCCCATAGCTTAAGGCTTTTCTCTCCAAACAATCAACCTGACTGCAAGGCAGAAGCAGCCTGAGAGCCTATATAGTCTCTGGCTGCCAGGGCAAAACCCCACCAAAGCTGCCTGCTTAAAGGAGACTGACTCATGATGCCCTTATTTGGTGATGAAGGAATGGGGAAAAAAGCAGAAGCAAAGAAAATCCTAAGGAGCTGCAAGCACTACCACCTGCAGTTTTAAAACCAGCTCTAAGGAAAAGTTGGGCAGTAAGGAGGCTGCATATGGAGCTCAAATGAAAGAAAATGACAGCTGAAGTGCTTCAATGCCAACCGTGAATGTCTAATCAGCCTAGGTTGTCTCCCAAGGAAGCGGGATTCCCTAGCCTAGGAGTCACATTTCCTTGGACTAAGTAAGTGTAACAGCAAGACCCCAATTGGAGCACAATAAACAACTTGATTTCAATCTGGCTAGGTACTGTGAAGGTATGGAAAGGTGTCCTTGGTGAGTGCGAGGCCACTGCAGGGGTGGGGTGGGGGCAGCAGGGGCCTTTTGTCCTTGGAGAAAGCAGGAGTTGAAAAGGACACATCCTAGACCCTCCAGAGTCCCTCTTCTGACTTCTCTTCCTTTCCTGGAGAGGAATCAGAACCAAGGCTGAGGATCAACAGCAGAACAGGCAAAATAACTGCCTGGCAGGAAGCTGGTTGCAGGGTTTGCATTTGTAGCACAAGGAAATGGACACAAATATACTAGAAAGCCCAACTATGACTCTGCAAACAGAATGGGGCAAAAATCTCTCACTTAGTTCTAACCATTCCAGAAGAGACAAACATGGTTTTATCTTAAGCTATCAATTGGAACTGTCAGCTATGGTTCCTGATCACTAAAGACTGGCAAGGAAGTGCTAGATGATTTCTATGATGTTTCACTCTTCCATGACTACACCGCAGTAAGGAAGCTGGGCACAGTAACGAAAATACACAAGACAACAAACACTTGACAGTTCATGGCAGCAGCTTATATGGGATGTGCCTGTGGGTGTTTCTGGAAGCATAAGACTGCTGTCTCATTTGCTACTTTGATAAGGTACTTCTCAGTTGGACAGATTTAGATATGAGACATCTCTGTAAACACAGAAAAGGATATACCAATATGATGAAGATATGTAGCTAGATAAGGACTTCCTGAACAGAGGTTAAAACTTAGGGTTCCCAAATGAAAACTAACCAATTAAAACCCAACAGCAAAGCTATGCCTGTATAACCCACTATTACACGTATGAAGCAGATTGAAATATGGAGTGTGCCGGTCCCACCCAGTCCCCAATGAGCAAAAGGGAAAGAATTCCACTAGAAAAAGTCTTGGCATGTGTATGTGTCAGAAGAGCAAGGGGCCCTGGAGTCACTCCCTGCTCAAGTCTGCATCTGTTCTGACAGGTGCCTACCATACTATGCTTAACATTAGACTTCTGAGTGGGGTCAAGGGTAGTGGGCACAGCAACCCTGTTGGGCCACTCAGTGATTCTTGCAGAACACAGGGAGCTCCTATAGCTCTTTCAGCTAACACACGTGGCCCAGTTTTTCTAGCTCACTTTTCTAGAGCAGAAGGTGAAAAGGCTCATCGTTTAGGGTCTGAAAAGTCTTTTGACTTTTTTTCTTAAGCAAGGAAGAGGGAAGCAAGAGCTGATTGCCCTCTTATTCTTCACAGAGGCCATGGAGGACTCAGCAAAGCCCAGCACTTGCTTAGGGTTAAACATGATAGCTGGTACTGGCAATGGTAAGTCAAAGGGGAGGGAGAAACCTAGGGCTATGGTTGACTGCTGTCAGGAAAGCATGTGGTTGGGTACTGCAGATGCCTGGAACAGAAGACACAACTAGGAGCTAAGGGAAGAAGAATGGGGAAGAAATGAAAGCATGAAATGGAAGGAAGATAGAAGTGGGACAAAAGAGAAAGCAATCAGGAAGTCCTTATAAAATTGCAGCGAACACTTAGAGTTTCGGAGCTTCGTGGGAACCCTATATACTGAGCCCACTTTAAAACAAGCGCAGGTATATACAGATCCAGGTAGTTCTGAACACTGCCACATCTGGTAGCTTGTGGGACAAAGTGTCACCATTTCAAGCCAGTTTGCTTTCAGAGCATATTTGTTTTGAAGTGGGGAAATGGACACTCAATAGTGCAAATAATTCTAAGCTGTCCCTAAAGGAGAACTGGGAAGTAATTGGAAGAATATTTTCCTTTCTTTTGCCATGCCCCTTGTCCATCCACTACTAGTCACAGACTGCTCTCTCATTCTGTGGCACTAGATCTGGCTTGACCCCACCCAGCCTGTGTGTGTCCTACTCTGCTGCCTCCATGGCACCTCTTAGAATTACTCTCTAGGGGAGCATGCCTTGTGAGCAGGTGATGACACTTCAGTCTGGGCCATCATCAGGCGAGTCTATAATCCAGCAGTTCAGGACTCACTCCTACCTATGACAGAGATGGATCAGACAGGTACCACTTTCCTGTTTTCCAAAATATCCTTGTCAGTTTTGAATTGGGGTGGGTGTGGGGCTAGACTTGTGCCACCACAGTTCTAATCATTGGGCCACAATCACTGGCCACCTCTAGTCTTCTTTAAAGAATCCAATGTTTTTTCCAGCCTTGCACTTCCCAGTCCCTCAGATTGGGAGTTGGGGTGGTGGAAGGGTTAGTGAAGCTATGGACAGGGCACCAGTGGCACCAGAAATGGGAGTGTCCTCTCAACTGCTGTCTCTAATGAACACACTTGGGGGGTTATTGAGGGGTGCCTGGTCAACAGCTTGTCTGGTCAGTAGTATCTGCAGCAAGCCTTGTTGAAGGAGCCTAGTTTAGAAAAGTGCAAAGCTACTTCTGGCCCTGGTTAGGTCTTCAACCTGACTGTGCTTGTCGGTAAGAAAAACATCCCAATGCTCCAACTACTCCCACCCCGAAGCCACGAAACTCTAAGTTTACTGAAAGAAAAAAAAATATTTTTTATTTCAGTTAGTTGGGAAGCTTTGTCAGAGCCCTACCCATAAGGAGAAGAGACAACAGCTGCCTTTATTCTTGTTGGTTTGCTTTGCAATCCACTCTGTGTAAAGTCAGCTAACTCTCTCGGTCACGGGCGTCCGGCTGTCCACAGGTTCTTCTCTGTTTGGCCTTGGCATGGAAGATGAAACAATGTCTTTGCGCTCTCCCTCCCCTCGGTGTTTGTACTTTTCTGCAACTGTGGCGGTGGTTGCTGCGACCATGGGCTGAGTCTTAGCTGGCTCCTTGGGACAGCCATCACTCTCCAGCGAGCCTCCTCGGGGCATCTTCTCCTCTTTGCAGATGCTGCTACTCAAGTCCTGGGGCTCAGGGGGGATGATGGGGTCCTCAGAGCTCTCAGGCTCAGGTGGGGGTGGGGGTGGAGGTGGAAGCAGTGGCATGGGGGCCTTTGGGGACTCTGAATGGTGGTGGTGATGATGGTGCTCCTTTTTAGGGGGTGAGGAGGCACTGCTGCTGCTGCTGCGCCCTTTGGGGCTGCTCTCCTTGCTTTTTCGGCCAGGGCTCTTGCAGGTCTTCAGTCCCTTCCCACTCTTCTCACCAAGGGTGGACACCAGCAGGGGCTTCACCACTTCCTTAACCTCAATGCTAACTGTCTCCCGGGTCTTGCGCTTCTTTATGGGGAGTACAGTCTCATGCACAGAGCGTATGGAAGACTCCTTCACAGCTTTCTTTTTGGCCTCTGCAGCAGCTGCTGCTACCACACTCCCAGGCTTTCTGCCCCGTTTCTTAGGAATGGCCTGGGGGTCAGCTTCAGCTTTTCGCTTTCTGCCAGGGCGTTTGATCACCATGACCTGGGCAGAAGTGGTAGCCCCACCTCCCTCACCTTTGCCCCCAGGCGATGCTTGGAAAGGCATCTTGACAAGAAGTTTCCCAGGACTCTTCTCCAGGACCCTTTTCACCTGAACACCTTCTGATGATGCTGCCTTGGGTCTCCCAGTACCACTCCCTTTGGGGCGTCCCCGACCCCTGCCAGTTCCTGGAGCTTTGGGAGATTTGGGCTTCTTAGGTGGTTTCTGCTCTCTCCGAGAGGGGCTCCCTCTCCCAGTTACCGTGAAGTCAAAATCATTAGGGTCCAAGGAGGTGTCTCCTACCTTCTCAAAGTATGCAATCAATTCCACTTTAGAGCGAAAGGCTTTTCCCTGGGGACTGTGGAGACAAATGGAGACACAAAGAATAGTCAGAAGTGTTTTTTTTTCTCCTCTGAGACAGGGTCTCTCTGTATTGCTTTGAAGCCTGTCCTGATACTAACTCTGTAGACCAGGCTGGCCGAACTCACAGAGATCCGCCTGCCTTTGCCTCCCAAGTGTTGGGATCAAAGGTGTGTGCAACCAACACCTGGCCTTTCATAAGTTGTTATGACAACTTAGAGACTGAGGTAGAGAATATGGTATTGACAAGTTTTCTTATAAGACATTGTAAGTGATCAAGGATCAAACTGAAGAAGAAATAAGATGAACTAAAATTGGAGGGCACAGCCAGGCCAGAAGCATTGGTAGAAGCATGTTACCAGGGGTATTGGGTACTATACAGCTTGCTCAAGGACCAGAATAGCTGGGCCTGAAAGCCTCAGAGGACCTGTCTTCCTCTAAGGCCACTCCTGTCTACTGTTTGGTTTCCTCACAATCCAAAAACCAAAGGGGTCAGGCCTGGTACTAGGGGACCAATGGGCTCAGTTGAGTGTTGGTTGGTGCTCAGACCTAATCCACCACCAAAATATTCCTGCATCTGGAATAAGCCACGGTGTCCAGCCTCTTTGAGAATCCATTTCATTGCAATAAAGCTTTCCTCACCCTTCTTAAGTGTTGAAGTTTAAATAAGCTACCCACAAATACTGTGAAAATTGCTAGCCTTTCTGGGATCATTTAAAGGGCAGACTAATTTACTTCTTGGCTGCTCCTTTAAACCTCTGACTCTGGCAGTTATTCTGCTTTAACAGAAAATACTAGAAGTCAGTCCAAAGCTGGACAAATGCAAAAGGAACAGTTAGAAAGGCGCACAGAATCTGTTTGTGTCCCTTTCCACAGGTCCTGTTAAAGGGCAAACCTTTCCCAACACTGATTTAGAAGCAAACAGAAAGAACTTGACATGTGGCATACGTAAAGGACATACTATTCTGAAGCAGGGCAACAGAGTAGTGAGCTCTGTAGTGTTTTCTAAATGTATCTGGTGTTGATTTTTTTAAGTGTCCTATAGGTGGCAGATTCCACAGAGCTATAGTTTCAATTAGTCCTTATATCTAGCTCTTACTACATAACTTTTCTTGATCTATACACACAAGACTTGCTATTACTTACTTGATCAAATATACATCATACTTCCCAGCAGAGCGGCCAGACTTCCTTTGCTTAAGCTTTCGTGTCCAACCTTCAGGCAAGGTGGGATCATCATACATGGGTCCCCGGTCACGAATGATGGAACGCCGCTGTTTGGGGGAAGCAGAGGCTTCTGGTACTGCTGGGGCAGAGCCCGAGCTTTCTGATGTCTCTGCTTTGCCTGCCTCTGCCGGCTCAGCAGAATGGTGGGCTGAAGGCTGTAGTGGCTCATGTTTGCCCTCTTTGTCTTCCTTCTTGTCTTTCTTCACCTTCTTAAACTTCAGGGGCTTGTCTTTGAGGCCCTGAAGATCCTGGTCTTCTGACTTTTCTTCCCTGAAGTATTAAACAAATATGTAAGTATCACAGAGAACACAGTTGCATGCAGAGTAGTGAGCACAGGCAAGCTTGGGCACCATACATGAGGCCCCTGGCTGCTGCATACAGCTCTTGGTAACTTCCCTGGGACAATGTATCCTTGGGAAAAGCTGAGGCCCAAAGATTTTTTTAGTGGCTTTGAGCTGGTGGTGATGTTGGGCAAATACAGTTAATTTTTATGATACTACTTCAAACCCTAGGTCTAGTTCTTTGAAAATGGCACGTTTTTCTCTTGAATTAAAGCACTGTAGGGTTGGCTTCTCATCACAACACAAGCAGAGGTCAGTTTATAAGTTGCATCTGATGCCCACCTGGGCTTGTTACATAAAAAAGCCTCTCCATTTCTGGAAAGGGAACTGCCTACTACAACTTGTTTTAGGAGCACAAACCTCCTGGAAGGTGGTATACAGCACAGGATTTGGCCAACCTCAGATCCAATTCTGACTGTATCATTTTTTAAAATTTATTTTATGTATTTTGTCTGCATGTATGTCTCTATACCACAGGAATACCTAGTGCCTGTGGAGGCCAGAAGAGGGAATTGGATCCCTTGGGACTAAAGTTACAGATGGTTGTGATCCACCAATGTGGATGCTGGGAATTGAATCTAGGTCCTTGGGAAGACCACCAGTGCTCTTAACTTCTGAGCCATTGCTTCAGCTTCACAACTTTGCCATCTTCAAAACAAGGAACCCAGCAAGTGACTTCAGCGGTCTAGGCCAGTTTTCTCATCTCAACGGTAGCTAATCTCATCCCAGAGGCATTCTTTCTGTGAGAATTATGGACAAAATGGTCCAAAAACACTGTATAACTACTGCTAATTCAGGCAAACAGCAACTGCTGCCTAGAGTTCGTTGTTCGTCTGAGAAAAAAAGGATCCTGGGGGGGGGGGTCACATGGGTCTTTACAAGATATTCTTACTGAAGCAAGCAAGCACACATGCATGCAAGCTCTCACCATATCCTCAGCAGAAACAGAGGAAAGAGAAAGAGAAAAATGTAATAATAGAATAGTGTATGGAGTATGGCAATTGCCACATTCTAGGACAGAATACCTGCTCATTCTTTCTTGTGGACGGAGACAGCTCCTTCTACAGATTTTGGTTTTTCCCAATGGGGCCCCTTCATGTACAGGGTTCAAGGCTTGTCTCTGATGCTCTAGTGACCACACGGCACTGCTTGCACCTCTGAGTTACAGTTCAGACTAAAGAAGGTTTGGAAAGAAGTAGCAGTTGCCTATTGGTCTAAGACTAGGAGAATTGGGCTGTGAGGTGCATCTGGAAGTATTGTAGTCTGTTCACAGTTCAGTGTTTAGGACCAGCTTAATATGAAACCTCTAAGTGACAAAGGAATGAGCTGGCAAGAAAAATGCCAAAGTGGTAAACAGCAGGTATTTATCACTTGCATGTAATTCCACAGGACCATTTTAAACATCAGGGTTGCTCCCCTGATTCTAAATAGTTCTTGAGCTTAAGAAAACCACTAGACTAACAGGACAAATTGGCTTCATTAGAATTCTCACTTGTATTCCAAAAAATATTAACAACCACAGGTTAAATATAAGCCATATGAGCAAAGAACACCGAGAAATCTACCCCGAGGAGACATCTCTGGAAATGCCTAACAACAAAGGCATGATAATTTTCACTAAATCTATTTTCACTACCTAAGACTGCAGGCCTCTCTAGTCCTTGTCACGAAGGAGACTTGGTGAATAAACTACAAGATGCTTATATACTGGAAGGCTAGAGAAGGATGAGTGTTATGAATTTTTTGATATTAAAAAAACAAACTGCAGGCATGTTTATCATATGAATCTGGTGTGCAGGATTGCAGACTAGTCTAGGGTAGGTAAGAACAAGGTAAGAACCATTGCTGAACACTTCTTGGATCATAATTGTATGTAATGAATCGTGTAAATGTTAACATAACTAAAAATAAAACAAAAGTAATAAAATATAATATAATGCAGGCAAATAGAAACCAAGGAGCTTAAGAATATTATCAAACGTAACATACTACGCAAAAAAGACTCTAGCTTCTGCCCATAGTGTTCCTCTAGTGGGATATATTCCAAAGCCAACAATAATATCCCAGCTGGCAGACCAGCTGAAAGGTGACTCTGGTTCTGGGGAATCCTCTGGTGCCAGTAAAGCTGGGGATGGGAATACAAAAACAAAGCAGGAGGAAGTCAAGAAAAAAACTTTTAGCAATAAATAGCCTAGGCATGGTCAAGAATGTAGGCAGTAAAGGATTTGGGATCTGTTTAGGGGAGAATCAACAGAGCTCAATGGTGGACTGGGCAGAACTAAGTTAGAATTGTGTTAAAGGCTGGGCAGACAGCAGTGTCAGTGACTGAGAAAGGAAGTCTGGTTGAGGAACATGCGCGCAATAGCATTTCTGAAGCTACTGGCTACAAATGTGGGAGGCCCAGCTGTATTTTATCAACTGAGTTATATCCTTAACCCTCACATTCTTTCAAACTGAAAACATTTATAGCAAATAGTAACTATATGGTGCTTTTTAATTCTTCATACTGAAAGGCACACAGATGTTTGGGATTATATTTTCTCACTGCTAATTAAGGGGGAGGGGAGAATACCAAGATTAGTTTATCCATGGATCACTGTGTAGCTAAGGACAGCCCCTGATTTCAATGCTCCCCAGTTCTGGGATTAAAAGCATTTTCCACCATGCCAGCTAATTTTCTATTTAAAAACAAGTAACAGAGCTGGAGATTATGGCTCAGTGGTTAAGAGTACTTACTGCTCTTGCAAAGGAACTATGTTTGGTGCCCAGTTTCCCAGCACCCATATGACCATTCAGATCCACCTATAACTTCAGTTCCAGGGGATCTGACACTCTTTGCTGGCTTCTGTGGGCTCTGTACTCTGCATGCATGTGGTGTACACACAGACAAGCAGGAATACATCATGTACACATAAATAAAAATAAAATCAGCAATACCAAGTAACAAAAGCCCACAAAGAAGCCTGGATTCTTTCTGGATATGGAATGAAGGTTAAAAGGATATAAATGATGTAATCCAAAAGAGCCCAAGGGCCTGTTCAGTTTGGGGTGGGGGTGAGGGGTGGTTATCACTACAGGATCCGAGGGAGGAGGAGCTAGGCTGGGATGCCAGACGACTTTCCAAGATTGCCCTCCAAGAAGGTCTGTGATGTTTAGTGAAGTACATTTCCTAAGAAACCAAATACCCTTTCTCTAGCCGCCCCCTTCCCATCGCTCCGTCTTTTCCAGGATTACTAAGAGAGCCAAACACCTAGTTTCTATGTTTATACAGTTCAAAGTTGGAAGTAACACCGGAAACCAGTATGTTCAACTTTGGAATGTCACAGATGAAGGAAAAAGGAAGCTCAACTACACAAAGGAACTTATCTGGGGTCACTATTGAGTTTATGGCCAATTAAAATGAGTTACATTGGATGGGTTTATTATCATTACAAACATGTATGTGTGTTCTTCAACTGCCTTTGCTATTGTGTCATACTATTAACCACTGTGATGCCCTTTCCAGAAGGAAAAGTAACCCATGGTACCTCCCTGTATCAACAGCAGCTCTGGGCCTGCTCTTCCTTGCCTCTTTATTTGGAGATCTTTCATCCTGTAGGTTAAGGTGACACTTCTCAGGGGTTTCTCTCCTCCTCTATGCCCTGGAAGCACAGCATACCATCCCCCATCCTCAACAAACATAAAATATTCCACTGCACACACCAATTCCTCTCTCTCTGCTCAGTGCCTGACAAAAGAGCAACACTTAATAAACATATGCCATGTAAAGTCAGGATGCTGACTGTGCTACATCTGCTTAGTGCTCAAAGTAGATAGGCTTTGAGTACATGAGCAAATGGTGAGTTTAGGAACTAGCAGTAGTGTGTTGGATTATCAGTGGCTTGGAATTGGCAGGAGATGAGGTTATGAAGGTCACTGAGGGTCCCAGTTACTGGACAGTAATGTAAAAGATGATTATATCAGCAGGACTGCCAAGTTTCCAGTTAATGTGGCACACAACCCTCCTCTTGAAAACCTAAAAATGCTGAACCAAACAAATACCTTAGAAGAGACATCAAAGAATGTCTTAAACATATGTACAAGGAAGGAAGGCATACACAGACTAAAGAGTAAGAAGACTGAAGAGTCAGAGCATCTGAATGTAGCACAAAACTCTGTATTAGATTCTAGTTTTAAAGGCACTAAGAAAGGCATTAATGGGACATTAAGGGAAATGTGAGTAAGGCTCTACATTAACTCATTGCTAAACTTCTAGAGTGTTGTAACTGTGCTGTCTGCTCTTAGGAAAGCCAGGCTTAAGTATTTTTAACTGAACATCATGATGACTTCCAACTCTCAAAGGGGAAATGATTCAGGGGTGGAAGGGATATGTATAGTGTCAATGTGATAACATGTTTCAAAAGGGGAAATGACATCAATATCATCAGAAATTCTACTGGTTTATGGCAATTTTTAATTTTTTTTTGAGACACTGTCTCTGTTATGTAGCTCAGTGGTCCTGGAATTCACTATACAGACCAGACTGACCATCAACACACAGAGATTTCCCTGGCTCTGCCTCCTGAGTTCTAGTATTAAAGTGTACACCATCAGACTCAGCCTGACGGCAAGTAAAAAGAATGGTTATGTACTCTACCACTGAGCCATATCCTTAGTTTCAAGAGTAGTATTTTGAAGTAGTAACAAGAAAGCGTCTTAACAAAGAGAATGTGTTTGTGTTACACAAAAACAATAAGAGAAACAACTGGAATTAGAAAGCAGAGGAAAAAGGACCACTGCAAGCTCTAGATCAGGTTGCATATTATATACATGGCGAGTTTTAGGCTAGCCAGCACTACATATTCATACCCCGTGTTTTTACTTTTTCCAAGACAGGGTCTCACTATGTACCTCTGGCTGTCCTGGAACTTACTCTGTAGATCAGGCTGG